AATTGATTAGGGAAAAGTAAGTAAGGCAGAATTTATTATCATTCGGCCAATGTCTCTGTGTTGTTGTGTGTGTGTGCTTGCGTGCGTGTGTGTGTGTGTGCGTGTGATCAAACTAACCAAATAAAAAACAAATGTATAGCCATTGATAAATGAAAAATTAATAACCAAACATAACAATAATATTTACCCCTTTTAACACTTTGTCAATATCATCAACTAAAACATCAACAACAACATCAACAACAACATCAACAACAACAGCAACAACAACATCAACAACAACATCAACAACAACATCAACAACAACATCAACAACAACAGCAACAACAACAGCAACACAATAATAGTAATCTTTGATTAGTCACAAAAGAATGAGTCATATTTTTCTGTAAGATGATGCGGCTCTAGGTACGCATAGCGACGTTTTTTGTATCCATCTATGTATGCATATATGTTTGTTTGTATGTATGTATGTATGTTTGCATGTTTGATTGTATGTATGTATGTATGTATGTATGTATGTATGTATGTATGTATGTATGTATGTATGTATGTATGTATGTATGTTTGTATAAATAAATGATGGAATGAACAAAAGAACGAAAGAAAGAAAGAAGGAGCGAGCAATGGAAGAATGAATGAATGATGCTTATTGCTACACACGTTCTGTATTGTCTGCAATATGTCTGCTCTAGTTGTTCGTGTCAATGTTGATGCTGTTGTTGTGATGTTGTTGTTTTTAGTTGTTGTTATTGTGATGTTGTTGTTCTTATGTATATTGTGTTGTTGTGGATGATGTTGTTGTTGTTGCGGCAGCATTGTTCTGACATACTTCTGACAAATATCAGTTGTCACTGCAGTGTAATAAAAATTTTGTTTACATTCCAGCTTTTTGTTTACTATTTTCACCTCCTGATGTTGTTTGCGGTTTTGTAATTTTTCCACGTTTCAAGATACTACTTTACAATGTTACGCATTAAATTTACACATCAAACCAAACAAACAGACAGACAGCGTGACAAACAAACAAAGAGACAAGCCAAAAGACGAACAGATAAAAACATGGTAACTTGCTTTCAAAAATTCTTCATCGGTCCAACATGTCGCCTTAATAAATTATTAATGACGGCCATGTATCATCGAAAAATTTGCATACACACGCCTGGTACCTTCCTAATATTACTGCTAACCACTCATGAATATTAATGATCTCTCATTTATGTTAATTAGTTATGAATATTATAATGAGCGTTCCATGAATATTGATTAGCGTTGAAATGTTTATTCATAATAGGCTTCGCTGAATTAACAATTTTTCTCGCGTTCTTCGTTCATTATTTGGTATTTTATTATATTTCCCATCCATTTATCATTTTATTCTTTTATTCATTCGTTCGTTCGTACATTCATTCATTTTTTCATTCATTCATTCAATCCATCAATCATTCATCGATCTGTTGAAGGCATAGATGCATAATGAATGATTTTAAGAGATCTGCTAAATTAATAACGTCTGTTTTGAGTGAGAATAATAATAATAATAATTATTATTATTATTACTACTAACATTATCAAAATAATAAATAATTATAATAATAACAAAAACAGTAGCAGCTATGAATTATTAATGGTGAAATTCTCAACCAAAAGCGTGAAACAGATATTCGATGTTCATCGTCTTCATCATCATCTTCTTCCCCATCGTCTTCATCATCATCATCTTTTCTTCCTCATCGTCTTCATCATCATCATCTTTTCTTCCTCATCGTCTTCATCATCATCTTCTTCTTCCTCCTCTTCTTCCCCATAATCATCACACCACAATCAATTTATAATGGACTTTTAATTGTTTCAATTATTAACACATTAGGTGCCTATGAGAGCCTTCTACCATCTTATCGTCATGTTGTAACTCACAACAACAACAACAACAGCAGCAATAATAATAAAAACAATAATGAAAGGAAAAATAGCAAGAGCATGAGTGGGCAAACTACGACCCGCGGAGGCCTTCTTCGCCCAAAAAGGTCGTCAGCCAGACATTATGACCAAAAAAGGAACCACAAATCTTAAAAAAATTCTCCCCCCAAGTCGAAAAAATTTGCTATTCAAGTACATATGCAGCCCTTTGAAAATAAAATAGTTCTCAATGGGGTGGGTCCTCACAGCAAAATGTTTGCCCAGCCTGTACTAGGGCCATGTGCGGTAGGGGTTTGAACGCACACACTCGCATACGCACGTTTAAAAAAATAACATGCGAACGACAATGAAAAGACATCTCATTCAAACGTCTAGTTTTAAATTTTTGAAATATTTTTCAGACAACACGAATTTGAAATAAAAAGCATCTATCTATTGAATTATTCATTCGTCTTTCCATTCGTCCATTCATTCGTTCATCCATACATCCAATCCGCTGTTTTGGAAAGTTCATAAATATAAATTAACTCTACTTCATTCAAATAACTTCTTACATATTCTTCCTTTATCTTTCCATTCTCAACTTTCTCTCCTTTTCTTTCTCTCTCTCTCTCTCTTATCTATCTCTATCTCCATTGTGAAGTTTCTTTTTGCCTTATTCATTCAACGCCTTTTAGGTTTTCGATTTCATTTCTTCATTCTTCGAAAGAATGAACGAACTAATCAATATTAATTTATTAAAAAATGAATAAAACAATGAGTGAATGAATGAGTGAAAGAAAGAATGAATGAAAAAGTTATCTGGCAAGCGTATCTAATGCAAATTGTTGAACATATTGTGACTCGTGCATGCGGGTAATATGCGTGTGTGTGTGTGTTCATTCATTTGTTCTTTCCTTCCTTCATTCATTCACATGATTTCATTCATTCATACATACACAACATACACATACATACATACATGCATACATACATACATACAATGTAATGTTTATTTTATAGTTTTGACACGTAGTTGTCTCATTATCCAATTTCAACTTTACCGACTTCAAATCTAGCTTTAACTGGCTTCTAATTGCAAACAACATTCCTAAACAGACACACACACACACACGTGCATACAGACACACACATGCGTACAGACACAAGCGAATACACACCCAACAAATACATTTGAAAGATTTTATCAGGCTGATTTTTCCCGCCATCAGTTTGATCATTTGAAACTTCTGGGTTGAATTTTTTCACATTCTTATATACACGTGTGTTTGTTTGCGATTTGCACATACACACGCAAGTAAGAAATGCAAACATGCACATTGAACAAATACAAACGTCGCACTGTATACATACAAACATAAAACATACAAACATAAAATATACAAATACAGAATATACAAACATAAAACATACAAACACAGAATATACTAGCAGGATCGAAGCATACAATTATGAAGGAAAACAGGATGCGGGGATTGTTGGTTATTTATTGTTTATTCTCCCTATCATGTTTTGTGTAGGTTTGGCGTCAAGCATGACGTCATGATAATAATAATAAAAATAATGATCGTTATCACCACCAGCCGTAGCGAACTGCCTAGAAATTATTTCGATCCTCCTAATTAATCATTTGATCTTCCATATCTTATCGCCATATCATATCGTCGTTATCATCATCATTCGGTTCAAACAAGCCACAAAGAACACACACACAAATACACACACACACACATACACACATGCATACTTACACAGACATTCACTGATATATGTATGATGTAGACATCCACTAAAACGTCCTTATCAACAATTCAATCATATAAAGTTTGTTGCCAAGTAGTGTAGACACACACAAACACACATACACAAACAAACACACATACACACACACACACAAAGTTGTACATTAATATTATTATAGTATTATATATTACATATCTGTATATAGATACTAGTGCTTTGATGTGTTTGTTATTCTTACTTATTAATAATATTTAGTTAAGAAACACGGTCCCGTCTCGTTTGGTTTCGTCTCGTTCGCTTTTGTCTCGTTTCGTCTCGATATGTGATGTGAGTATCGTTAGGTTGCGTCATAGAGCGTCGGTGTGATTGAAATCATAGCGGTAAGTTAATTCACAGAGGTCGGTTGAAAAAATGTATTAATAATAATAATAGTAATAATAAACTGTTTCTTCATCATCATCTTCATCATTATCATCACCACCATCATCATCATCACCACCACCATTAACGTGATTGTCTCCGTGGTTTTTGATGTCTCTACTGTCTGCCGTAAATACACTTTATTTGATGGATGGATGGATGGATGGATGGACGGAGTAATGAATGAATTAGTTGAATGAATTAGATGAGTGAATGAATAGTTGGTTGATAATAAATACACTCGGATTGCGTAGCTTATAGAAAGTGGTTACATGATTGAATGAATGAATGAATGATTGAGTGATTGAATGAATGAATGATTGAGTGATTGAATGAATGAATGATTGAGTGATTGAATGAATGATTGAGTGATTGAATGAATGAATGATTGAGTGATTGAATGAATGAACGACTGGTTGATTGATTGAGAATCTAAATCACAAGTTTGTATTTCAACTAACATATCAATGCTTGCAATTAAGTAATGAATAGCATTGAATGTATCAACAACAACAATAATAATAATAACTAAAATATTGAAAATAATAACAATAATAATAAAATATAAACCGCCAAAAATCAACAGAGTTAGATTGAAAATATGAATGTTGACAGTGCATCACACAGGGAAATATTGTGTTTGCCAACGTGTGCCCATAACTCAATCATAATAATAACAGCAACAATAACACGTATGCATGTTTGTATGCATGTATGTATGTATGTATGTATGTTTGTATGTATGTATGTATGTGTGTGTATGTGTACAAACTACACACACGCACTAACAATAGTTGATACGAAGGCACCGAGAAGAAACACTAGAAACCAAAAGATGATTTACGAATGAAATGAAACTGGAACAGGAACATTGAAATTTGAAGAGGCAAGAACAAAGGAGAGAAGATGGCACCAACCTTGTGAGACTTGCTGGCCTGGAGGAGGGGTTGCAGTTGATGTTGCAGGTGGTTCTGCTGCCTACAGAGCTCGCACACGCACACTCTGCACGGCACGCAGTACATGCTCGCCTGCTCGCCGGCGTGGTCGCTGCACAGGCACTCCCTCCTAAGCAAGTACTCCCTCGCCTCGTCAGCCGCCATCAACTCGTGCTTCTCCATCGTGTGGTAGATCTTGCAGCAGTCGTCGCAGTAGAAGGTCTCACACTCCTTGCACATTTTTGAAGCTGGTTTCAAATGTTGCTGTGGTGTGCTAAGATTGTTTGTTGTTGTTGCAGTTGTCGTTAGACTTGTTGTTAGACCATCCGAAGAAGCAACACTGCTGCTGCTACCGTTGCAAATCTGACAAGCAACACGTAGTTGTTTGTTTTCTCTGTAACGCGTTGAGATGGCCAGCAATGTTTTAGCCCGCGGCAAACTAAGGGCCCCCTTGTCGTCAGAGTAGGTGACGTTGAAGCAGAGTGGGCAGGTGATGGCTACTTGGGCGGTTGCTCCGTTACCTAGCAGAGGGGTGGAAGAATTTGTGGTAGCGGTGGTGGTGTGGTTGGTGTGTTGGCAGCTGTGTGGAGCCACTTGTTGATGGTAAAATCCGCTGATGTTGGCTAAACTCTGACTACCGATGGCTATGTAGCTGTCGGGCCGACTGCAAACAACTCCCGAGTCGGTCTCGCTGAAGATGCTGCCCGTTTCATCTGAGTCAGCGCTCGTGTTGATGTTGTTGATGTTGACGACCGCACCACTGCCCGACGAAGATGTGGTCGTTGTGGCGATGTTGTGGCTGGTGGCGGAGAGGGCGATGCGAGAGGCGCTAGAACAGCCACCGACGATGATCCCCGAGTCATTGAGGGTCTTGGAGGTGAGGAGGGAGGGTGTGGAGACGAGGGGCATGGGCAGGGGCATCTGCAGTCGTGTGGCGCAGTCCAGGCAGACGCAGTGCTGACAAGTCGTGAGTAGGACGGGGTTGGTGATGATGCGCAGGCAGTTTGGGCATTTAAGTTCTTCTTCCATGCGAGAGGAAAATTCCATTTGATTATGGATGGAAACTGCAGAGGAATGATGTGAAATTGATGCGATGTGATGCGATGTGGATGTGATGATGATTTGAAAACATTAACAAACGAAATAATTGTTGGTTAAAAATGATGGATCATGGCTGGCGGGGATGAATGAGGTTTTATTAATTTTCATAATAATGAAAATGCAGACAGAAAATAGTTGCACGTTGGTGCGGAACAATAACAGAATGAAATTTAAAACGACAGACTACCTTTTCTGGTCGGCGGTTGTTTCCTACCCAACAGTAAGCTATCTTCTTTTGGGAGGATACGGCGATGGTGGTGATGATGCTAGAACGGACGGACGAACGAACGAGACAAATATTGATAAGATAAATTTTTATTTATTAAATATCATCCAAGCAAAAACCTCCTCACTTTGAAACTTCAGCTGATTTTTACGCACGCTGTTCGAACTCTTCACTCCAAATGATCATATCATGTAAAATCCTTTTTGGTTTTCAGTTTTTAGAATAAATTTTATTTTCTCCGACGATTAATTGATCCAGCATCAAACTGAGACGTCAATTGAGCAATATCCTAAGAAGCTATCAGCAGCAGCAGCAGCAGACGTAGCAGCAACAACCACAGCCACAGCGAGACAACAAACACTACAACTATAAAACAACAGCACAACTACAAGACGCTACACGAAGCGACACGAGCGAACAACCGAAGAGAGAGATTTCAAAATAACAACTACCACATACATTTCACTCCTTATATACCCTTGCATTGGACGCACATGCAGCAAGTCTTTACAAACATATACTCACATACATACATTTATATATACATTCTTATAACATATATATGTATGTACTTATATATATATGTATGTATGTATGTATATGTATGTATGTATATGTAAATGCGCTATGATTACTTCTATTCAATAGTTTATTAAAAAATTTAGTTAAAAATATGTTATTTAATAAACTCAGAATCTTCATCATTTATTTATTTGTTTATTATTAATTAACTAATTCGAATTCGAAATAGATTAATCAATTAATCAACGATCGATAGATTGATGACGTCACGTAATGACGTAACAATCAAGAACGTCACAAGGTGCATCAAATTTAATTGATATCTTGGCACGCGTCCAATACAAAACCCAATGTTACATAACATTATACATGCGCGTGCGAGCGTGTGTGTGTGTGTGTGTACTATCACATACATCGTATCATCTTGTTAAATTTTAATTCTTCGTGTCTTACTTTTCCAAATGCTGATTGTATGAGAGGCCATTCTTTGGGTGGTCCTGACTCATTCTAATTTATCGGTCGGTCAAAATGATTCCATCTTATTGATTTAATAATAGTAAAGTAGTAGTAGTAGTCGTAGTAGTGGTAGAAGTAGTAGTAGTAGTAGTAGTGGTGGTAGTAGTAGCAGTAGTGGTAGTAGCAGCAGCGGCAAATGTATTAAATGCATAAAAACAACGGTTCTAGCAAAAACCAGCCAGCAGTCACTGGTTTATTTACTAGCCTGCTGTGACGACGAAAACGACGATGATTTCCTTTGTTTACGATGTGTTGGACGCGTCACACAGCAACTCATTTGCATATTAATAAGGTAGAATTTGCATATTAAGTAGATGTCATTATGAATATCTAACCGAGGACCATTATGTTAATGAGCTGGCCCTGTCGTCGATAGTGTTGTATTTATTATGTTAAGCTATTACATTTGATAGAAACTAGTTAATGCATTATTTTCATTTGGACTTACAAACGAAGTGTTAATCCACTAATAAATTAATTACTATTGTGGCTTCGCTAATTATACCTAACATTCAAACGAACAACTAGCAAGCTAACATTCAAGCATACCTACATGCATACACAAACACATACATACATACATACAAACAAACAAACACACGCACACACACATACATACAAACAAACAAACACATACACACACGTACTCACAAGCTGACATGAATGATGTTTGTTGGTGTCACGTCGTCAGAGAAACAGCTTTCGCTTCTTTGTTCCCGTTAAAGATGCTCGCTGCGACAACAACAACAAACATAAACAATACTACTACTGCTGCTACTACAACTGCTGCTACTACTGCTGTTACTACTGCTGCTACTACTGCTGCTACTACTGCTGCTACTACTAATAAAAAAAGTTACAGCAACAGCAATAACAACAACGCACGATAGCAGACGTTTAATTATAAATTTAAATAAAAGTACATAGCATAACAGAGAAAAGCCATCAGAAGTAACTTGCGCCACTGCCAAAACTTCCACAACAACAACAACATCAACAAAAACATCAGCAGCAACAACAACATCAGCAACAAAATCAACAACAACAACAACATCAGCAATAACATCATCATCTCAGTAGCAGTACATTGTATATATTTTGCCGCTTCGGTTGGATTTAATTTGTCCTCTTGTCACTCCAACTCACTCAGCACACACCGCACTCTGACTTCCTTTTTAAAAAAAGAATTATTCTTCTTGAAAACAAATGATTCTCTATTCATCATTCGGCTGATGTATGTGCGTGTGTGTGTGTTTGTTTGTGCGTGTATGTGAACAGAACTATCATCTATTTATCCACGTTAACAAACTAATAACCAATCTACCAACCAACCAATAAACAAACTGACCGACCGATCAACTGACCGACCAACCAACCGACCAACCCATCGACCAACCAACCAACTAGCATTTCATTGCCGCTTCCTAATGTGAAATGGATTAAACTGCTAACCAAATATGAGCCCTCAGCACAATGACGATCATTCCTCAACGATAACAAAAACCAAACAGAGAGAGAGAGAGAGAGAGAGGGGAGAGAGAGAGAAGAAAGAGAAAAATAAAAAACGAAAAGGTGAGAGAATTAAAAATAGAGAAAGAGAGATGATGAAAATTGTATTGAATTATGTTTTGTTACATTTCCATTTATGTATTTCGAAGTTTTCATTTGAGAAGCCGCCACAACAGCCTCACACAGCGTCTTCCCGCCAACGGAGCATTAGTTGATGAAATTAAACTTAAGTGCTCCACTTTACTCTTCGTCATTTTTTACGTCACGTGGTCTGCTGTTACTAAGGTAAACAACAAAAGTAAACAAAATATGTAAACAAACCAGAAACGAATACGGTTTAACCAAAAAAATAAATAGAAGTATTATGTAAACAAAAACGTCATGCAAAATGTAAGCAACAGTGTAAACAAATATTATGTAAACAAGAATAAAACTGTGTAAACTAAACAAAAATGTCAACAAAAACATCATAACACGATGTGGATGTTGCGGGGATGTCAAGCAGGGAAAACATTTTCTCGATAAAAAACTTTTTGAGTAAACAAACAAAGCACTATGTAAACAAAAATAGGATGACGTCACGTTTGTTGGTTGATTGTTTTTAAGTCAGTTGGCTGGTCAGTTGGCTGGTCAGTTGATTGGTTGGTTGGTTGGCTGGTTGATTGGCTGGCTGGTTGGTCGGTTGATTGGTTATTTTTGTTGGATGGTTCGTTTCGTTTAGTAACAGCCCCATGCTGAGTGACAAAGATTTATCATGTAAATTTAGCGTACAAGTTTGAAATATATCGCCTGTTATAATATTCATCGTCATCATCATCTCCAGCTTGTCACCAAAAAACATAAACATAATTTTTGCATGACTCAACAGCCCATTATTACATACATTCGTCGCCATCATAATTAACACACAAACATCATCAACATCGTCATCGCTACCGTCATCATCATCATAACCTCCTTCTTCTTCATCATCATCATCATCAGTATGATCATCATTGCTATAACTCATCCTCATCATCGTACAACACTTAAAGAAAGATATAAAGAAAGAAATGTGAGAGAGAGAGAGAGAGAGAGAGAGAGAGAGAGAGAGAGAAGGAAGAAGAGAAACTGGATAGAGCAACCTTTGACCCGAGTTCATTCATATTTGACGTTGTATATTTGTGTCATTTCATTATTTCTTCTCTCTTGCTGTTAACTACTCTGTCTGTCTGTCTGTCTGTCTGTCTGTCGGTCTGGTTAGGTTATGTTGTTGCTGTTGCTGAGTTTTTGCAATAGATGTTATTATCGTAATGATGATAATAATAATTACTTTTTCATTATTCCTCTTACTATTATGAGTTCGATTCTCATTATTGCCTGGTCTGAATGATGGTCCTCGTACAGCGGATATTTTTATTACAGCAATCATCATCGTCATCCTCCTCCTCCTCATCATCTTCTGCTTCATCTAGGTCGTCATCACCACCTTTCATAACACCAAAGATTTAAAAGAATATAGAGCATGCAAATTAAATTCACTTTTTGTTAAAAAAAACACATTTAAAAACGCTAAAAAATTTCACAGAAATTCGTACAAAATGTAGTTTTGATTTGTTCGCTGGCCAGGTTTTGAAAGAAATCATCACCATCATAACCAACATTCTCACCAACATCAACAACAGCATCATCATCGTCAACAACAGCATCATCATCGTCGTCGTCATCAACATAGCAATGCATTCTTTTGATAATTGCAACGTTAAATGGGGAATGGACCTAACTAAAAACATCATAATCATCATCATTTTCATCTTCTTCCTCTTCATCATCTTCATCTTTCTCATCTTCATCTTCTTCATCATCACTATCGTTGTTGTCATCATCATCATCATTCTTACTTTAATTATCGGCGCTTTTTTCAAACGAAATATCAATTTAAACATTAAAAAATATATTAATCGTATCTAGTTTAAGATGATGATGATGATGATAGTGTTGTTGTTGATGTTGTTGATGATGATGACAGTGCTGTTGTTGATGATGATGAAGATGATGTTGATGATGAATTCATTTAATACTGGGCAGGCAGACATTTCTCTGAACTACTGAATTATCGCCCGCTCTTTCCATGAACTGAACGTTTAAACATTGTTGCTGATGTTGTTGTTGTTGCTGATGTTGTTGTTGTTGATGTTGTTGTTGATTTTGTTGTTGCTGCTGCTGATGTTGTTGTTGTTGTTGCAGCTGTTGTTGCTGATGAATGAATTGTTGTTGTCTTTCGACTTGAGGAAACGAAGACATAAACCAGCAATCAAATTCTGTTGTTGTTGATGGTGTTAATGTTGTTGTTGATGATAATAAGATTCATCATCATCATCATCATCAACAACAACAACAACATCGCTGTCATCATCATCATCATCACCTACCACTCAACAATCTCAGTCTGCATTGGTGCACAGAGTTCTGGCAATATAATATTTCTCCCTTCAATTCCTTCAGTCTATCATACGTTTCTCTGTATTTCTGTGTTTGTTTCCATGTGTGTGTGTGCGTGTGTGTGTTTGTATGTATGTGTGCGTGTGCTTCTACAAATAAATAAACGAACGGATGAACAAACGAACGAATAACTGAATGATCAAACAAACAAACAAACAAACAAACGAACAAAAGAACGAACGAACTTGTTTGAAATCTTTCAATTTAATCATCTCGTTATATTCATCTTCACTGATCACCAAATCGCCATCTTCATTATATGAAACCCCTGTGTGTTCGTTAAATGAATGAATGAACGAATGAATGAACGAATGAATGAATAAATGAATGAATGAATGAAAAAATGAACAAACAATTGAACAAACGAACGAACGAACATATGAACAAATTAACGAACTAACGAATGAATGAAAAAAATCTACCTTCCACCTCTCTTTGACATTTCAAACAATTAACCCTATTAAAAAATGATAATCATAATTATAGATATTTAATTTTTAATTATAGATATTTAATGGTAAATAATAATGCAATGTGATACAGAATAATACACGAAATGAGAGAAAGAGACACAATGATTGATACAAAGTGATAGAACGTGATATATGTACAGAGACATTAATACTAACACGCACATACAAGTGTCTATTTTTTCTTTCAATTCATTTACATCCTTCGCTACTAAAGAATATTCGTGCTTCTTAGAGGCTAATAATTCTAATGAATGAATGAGTGAATTAATTAATTAATTGATTTATTAATTAATGAACGACTGAATAATTAAATAAATTATGTTAATGAACCTTTATTGTCGTTCAAGACACTGTTCAGTTGACAGCCGGCTGTTTGCTTGAAAATTTCAAACTGCTCATTTCGAGTTGGAAATCTGCGGATAGATGGATGGTAAATGAATGAATGATAGAACAAACGAATAAAAAAATGGATGAATGAATGAATAAATCGAAGAATGAATTAATGAATGTATGAATTAATTAATGACGAATAAACGAATGACCAATGAAAGAAAGGCAGGCTGAACTGGATTTCTCCAAGAGAGCTCACTTCCTACAAACAACAACAACAATAACAACAACAACAATTGCAACAACAATAATAACAACAATAATACAAGCAGCAGCTGTAGCAGCTGCAGCAGCCATCATACTCGGACGGTTGGTGGCAGAGGAAAAGTTGAGCGCCATCGACACAATCATCAGCACTTCTTGTTCTATTTGCATTCCTCCTCATCAGCTGATCAACATTCTCGTCACGTGATCCAACAGCTGTTGCTTGTTGTTGCTGCTGTTGTTCTTCTTTGGTTTCGGTTTCGTTTTGTTTTACCGATGCTAAGCTTTGTTTGTGCTGTCTGGTGATGGTGATGATGTCACTGGTGTTCATGATGATGATGATGATGCTGTTCACGATGACGATATTATTATATATAAAATAAATTATTTAATTATGAAAAACAATAAACATAAAAATTTTTTGCCAACCCTGTTTTGCTCTTCTTCTTCTCCAGCTCCTTCTTCGATGACGTTGATGATGATGACGTCATCGATGCTGGGTGATAATGGAGATAATAATAAAAAGAAGAAGACAAATAGATAGATAGATAGATAGATAGATAGATAGATAGATAGATAGATAGATAGATAGATAGATAGATAGATAGATAGATAGATAGATAGATAGATAGATAGATAGATAGATAGATAGATAGATAGATAGATAGATAGATAGATAGATAGATAGATAGATAGATAGATAGATAGATAGATAGATAGATAGATAGATAGATAGATAGATAGATAGATAGAATAAGAATCGTCAAAAGCCACATAACTTACAAGACTGCTTAACATTTTTGTCATCATCTTTTTTATCGCCGACAACTGCAGCAACAGTTTTAGCAGCAGTGGCCGCAGTAGCAGCTGCAACAGTAACTGAAGTAGCAGCAGCTGCGTTTGCTCCCAGCAATCCAACCGCTTGTAACATTGACACGATGTTTGGATCGTGGGCATTCAGAAGGATGTAGTTGCTATGGTATGCATCGTTCGTTGCTTTCAAGCTCTCTCTGGTGGCGTTCATTCTTTCATTCATTCATTCATTTATTTATTTATTTTGTTCCTCTCTCTATCTTTGGTTAATAATTTATTAAAGTATGAAATGACGTTAACTGACTGGTAGATGGATTTGAAGGCTGAAAAAACTTCTTTAACTTGCGTGGCACTCACGATCTAATCGGCGATGACAATGAATTCGTTTTTTGATCGTTCATTCATTTGTTCATTCACCAACTCATGCATTCATTCATCCACCCGTCCATCCATCCATCCATCCATCCATCCATCCATCCATTCAACCAACCTCAATGTCATCGCAATGATCTTCAACATAGGCCTTCACACACTGCCTTATATTCACTCTCTCCTTCTCACACAGCCCGTCATAGTTGTTTGTTGTTCGTTTGTTGTTGTTGTTGTTGCTGCTGTTGAGTGCATCGTGCAGTGCTAATTCACGCTTCAGTCGCGTCACTTCCTGCTCCAGCAGCGTCACTTGCATCTGCCACCAGACGTGTGGTCGATGTGGCCATATTGAAATGTAACAATCACGTAACCGTTATAATTATCGTAATTATTATTAAAGTTATTATAAAATCAAATTATAATTATGAAAACCATCATCATCATCGTCATTGTCATCATCGTTCCCTCTCAACTCACACACGGATCGACGTATGTGTTGATGGTCGGTTGCTCCCTCACCTTCATCATGCTCATTGCAAACCTTAATGTTGATACCTGGAAGGTAATCCATTTAAGTTAATTAATTAATTAACTAATTAATTAACTTTAAATTAATTAATTAACTAACTAATTAATTAAAAACAGCGTTAGCATCCACAACAACAACAAATTAACAGCAGCAACATATTAACAAGAGCAGCAGCAGCAGTAGCAGCAGCAGCGACTCACAGTCTCAAACAAATGCTTGGCCTCCCCCCAGACGTTGGCGATCAGTCGAGTCAGACAGCAACCACCAATTGAATCCTTCAAAAAGAAGGTCAACTTGGATTGTCTGTAGGGCACGTGACCTCGATTTGATTCGGTCAAGGCTGTTATGACCTGCTCTAAATATAGCAGGGATTTGTTTATGTAGCCCGCTTCTTCCAGGGTCTTGCCCTTAGACTGAATCAAATTGAATTAGAATAAATTAATGAATGATTGATCGAACGGATGAACAAACGAACGAACGAACGAATGAGTGAGTGAATGAATGAATGAACGAACGAACAAATGAATGAATGAATGAATGAACGAATGAATTAATTAATAAATAAATAAATAAATAAATAAATAGCAAATGAATGAATTAACAAACAAATGAATGAACGAACGAAGGAAGTAACAAATGTAGGAACGCACCAACATATAAACGAACGAATAAATGATGGAACAAAACAAAAATGGAACAAATGAATAAACAAACGAACGAACGAACGAACAAACGAACAAACAAACAAATAAAAAACGGAGACTTGAGTTTTCTTAATCCTTTCCGAGCCAGCTAGATCGACGAAGTTCAACCTGCTCATCATGTAGCGATTGTCAGAATGCACCAGGGAGTGACTCTTCAGAAAATGTTACTCACCATCATCATTTTTATTCATCTTTTAATCATTTATTATTCATATTTTAAAGATTTTTTCATAAAATGAAACCTAAAATGAGACAACTTCAAAAGTTACTAGCTACCTGAAGGTAAATGGTGAATATGCAATGCGACCTGGACGACTGCCTGTTCATCTTGTGGGAGGATATCGTTCGGTTCATCTCGCCCTAGTTACAAACACGTCACTTCAATCAGTCGAAATGTAAGGAAACACAAGTGCAGGCATTTCAACTCATGATCATCACTTTCTTCTTACGTAAATATGTACATGCTGATAGCTTGCAACATGCAGCGGAGTCGGTAGTTCTTTAAAATCAATCGCCAGTTGTGCTAGTAAATAAATATCTCCCCGCACCTTGCCTTCTAAATGTTAGCAGCAGTTTTTAAAAATAATGTTCCCGATTAATTTCTGCCTAGGGTGGCTTTTAATTTTTTGATTGCTACATTTGACTGCACGTGAAAGACCAGTTAGCCTACTAAATTAATGTAGATATTAATAAATATGGTTCAATGAGGGAGTGCGTGAAAACCTCAAAGAGCAAATTTAAAGCCTCGTTCTCGCAAGTCACTGGATAGCAATTCATTCCCTTGACTACGAAATTGTTATCATCGAGTTCTTTGATGGCCAGCGGCTCGAACTGTTTCTTGTTGGTACGGCTGTCGTTTTTAAAGCTGTGAGGCAGCAGGTCGTACATCACCTCGTTGTAGATTTCTATGTAAGATATGCTGGCGAGAGGAGTTCAAATATTTTATTTGTTTATTTGGCAAATGTACATGTTTGTGTACTACACTGTGCAATGCTGAAATTATGACCAGTTATTAAACTGGATTATTTTATGTTAGGAAACATCAAAAAGACCCTGTAAACATTTTTCAAATCGAAACAAATCGAAACGAAACAACCTACGAGATATTGAAGGATCGTTGGCAATCCGATTGAACATGGTTGAAGATGTAACTGATGGAGCGAGGTACCAGGCCCCTGTTATCAAATATTTCTGAGAGCCCCGTCATTGTGAAGGTTTTGCCCGCTCCTGTCTGTCCATAACAGAATATACTGCCTGGTATTTATGTGTGTGTTTGAGTGTGTTTTGTAGGTGTGTATGTGTGTATATGATGTGTGGTGTGTGTGATCTGATCGAATCCGCAAGAGAATTTAATATCTGAAAAAAGGCTTTCTGACCATTGCAGCCCTGGAGAAGAGAGTCAAGAACTTGCTTAGCGACAGTTTCAAAGACGAGCTGCTGGTTGACGTTTGCTAGCACGCCATCTGTCTTGAACGACCAACTCGTCTTCTGGTTGTTAGTCTCTGAGGTGTCTGCTTCTTTGGCTGCCTGGATGTTGATCGTCTGTGTGGGTTCATCGTTTGTGCTTCATTATTTTTCGCTTATTCATTCATTTGTTCGTTCGTTCATTAACTAATTATTTATACAAAACTCATTTGGGTTGTTTTTTCAGCGGCAATTTATTAAATAACTTTATTTAAACTATAATAAAATTAATAAATAATTTATTTAATAACTTTCAAATCATCTTGAACGTCAATCAGTCCTTGGGCGAAATTGTTGGTTGGTTTCACACGAACCCAGCATTCAACACGGCCTTATCAAACAGGTTAAAAATAATTTTAATAAAAATAATTAATAACAATAATAATAATTATCATTAATTTCGTTATTTTTATTGTTATTTAAAATTATTACTATCAATTAATTAATTTCCAATGCATATTATTTATTTTCTCAGCTGTTTCCAACTAGTTCTCACTTAATTAACATCTCCTTACCTTCATACAAGATTGTTAACTTAACAGACAGCATTTTATAAAAACAATTATAATTATAAAACAATTCAATTAATTAACTAACTAACTAATTAATTAGTAATTAATTAATGATTAAATTTAATAAAAAGTATAGACTAAAATAGCAAGCACGCCTGTATGCCTACCTGACATAGCGCCTAACGTACCCCAACCCTTACTAACTCAACGAACGGTGAACTGCAACCAGTGCATGCCCCCATGAAAACACGAAGTTTATCTGTTGCCATGGTGACTACGTTCGAAATTCAGCCTGTAGCGTTCAATTTTATTTATCGTCGGTTTCAAGTGGAGAGAGAAAGAGAGAGAGAGACGAATAATGAATATTCATAAAACGATAGACAATTAGCTTGATATATGCAAGCAGACATACAAACAAATCATCACCAGACGTATAGAAACGAATATGCAAACAAATAAACAGACAGATACAGATAAATACAAACATACATACAATTGACCGGACCGACAAATATGGAGGCGAATAGTAGGAAGACAGTTTTAATGATGGATTATAAAGGTCACACCCCAGACATCAACATCAAAGATAGCCTCGTATGATTGGTTGGTTGATTAGTTGATATGATTGATTGGTTGATTGATTGACTGGATGGTTGGTTGTTGGACTGATTTGTTATGTTTCGGTTGATTGGTTGGCTTGTTGATTGATCAGATGAATGATTGAATGAACGGACGTTTGATTAGTTGGGTGATTGTTATTTTAATCGCGCGAATGATTGATCAGTTGGTTGGTTGTTTACATCAACTCAACACATCTCAAAATGCTGAACACTCATTCCTATCACGGTTGAATTAGACGAGGAATCAAATTTCGTGATTGTATGTTTTTGTTTGTTTGTTGTTGTTGAATCAACTTTATAATTGATGATCGTGATGTTGTTGTTGCTGTTGCTGCTGCTGATAAAGAAGAAGAAGAAGAAGAAGAAGAAGAAGAAGAAGGTGATGATGATTGAGACGCTTATTTTATTTACCTTGTAATGTTGGATATTGCATTCATGATTGATTGTGACCGATTATAGCACGTGATGATGACGACGACGAAGAAGATGATTATAATAATGGTGATGATGGTGATGGTGACGATGGTAATAAAAACTTGATGTTTTTGTTGTTGAATTTTGATATATGTTCAATCAGTAGTAGTAATTTGTTGTTATTATTATTATTATAATTATTAATATTATTATTATTTTTAATATTTATTATTATTATTATTATTATTATTCTTAGTTCAGTCCAGTGGTTATTTTGTTTTGATTCAAGTTGTAATTGAAGATTAGCGGCGTATGAGTTTATCAAAAGAAATCATCCTCATCATCTTCATCACCATCATCACCATCACCATCCTCAACATCATTATCATCACCATCATTATCATCACCATCATTATCATCGTCAACAAAACAATAATATCGTCATCATCATCTTCTTCTTGTTCTTCTTCATCACCAGCATCAACAAAATACGGAACATTGATAAGAATAAGTAATTAAAAGTAAACTCAAATTGGAATAGAGCAAATTCCATAACAACTTTTATGATCTTTGGTTCATGATAATTATTTCCGGTGTGAAATTTATTCAGAGTGTATAGGGTTTGGATGAAAATTGTATAAGAGATTAAGAGATTGAAAAAAAGAAAGAGAGAGAGAGAGAGAGAGAGAGAGAGAGAGAGAGAGAGAGAGAGTTAGATATAAAGTATTGACATGTTGTAACACATTTCACAACTCCTCAAAATTTTTTTATCAAGCGTTATTTTTGTATCAAGTTATGAATATGTACCGTGTGTGTGTGTGTGTGTGTGTGTGTGTGTGTGTGTGTGTGTGTTTTTGTGTACGTGTTTGTGTGTACGTGTGTGTGTACGTATTTGTTTGTGCGTGTGAACGTTCGTAGGTTTGTTTGATTTCCTGTTGCTTATGCACACCCAAATACATACAACCTTAATTTTACGAATAAAAACAAAGTACACATACGCTCACATACATAAGCAACCGATCAAACATACACACAGACAAAAACACAAACATACACACAAACATACACGCCTACATACACGCACACATTCACGCACACATGCATGTTTCCATAATTCACAGTTCTCTTCTATTGCCTCCTTTAATAAGACAGCCAAGAAAAAAATTCTCGAAAGTGTTCTGTAAACTCAATTAGTTATTATTTCATCATTATCATTATTTGATATTACTTTGATTTTTGTTACTATTATATAAATGTTTTAGACAATTGCAGAAACGATGTAAAATTTTTATTTTTCAATTTGAATTAATCATTTGAAATTTTTTATTTTTTTGCTATGACATACACTCAGTTACATTTTAATGAAGTTATTCTGCACAAGTTATTTTTCTTTTAGATCTCCTAGTGATTTTCTTTTTCACCAAATAAATGATTGGAAAAAAATTGGAAAAAATACAAACAAACAAACAAGCAAATGTACACACATACAAACACTGCATTGTATTTAATGCAGTTGCTTAAGAACCCTGGGCATTAATTTAAAAGATTATTATTGTGGCTACATATAATTAATAACGATAATAATAATAATTATGAAAGAACAATAGTTTTGTATAGACCAGCTAAAGATTTAAACTCGTGTATGTGTTGCCGTTAAAATCAGATGGTTGTTGTTGCTGTCCGTTACAACGCTCCATCATCTGCTGCTGATCGTTGTATTCATCATGTGTTTATATTAAAATATTGAAAATACTACTACTACCCCTACTACTACTACTACCGCTACCGCTACTGCTACTGCTGCTGCTACTATTACTACTACTGATAGTGCTGCTACTACTACTACTACAACAATTAATAAGAAAACGAAAATATTTTGTATAAAAAAATTTCCAGGTTTGAAGAAACTCTTTTCTCAACAGTCTGATTAGTAAAAATAATTAACTAATTAATGTTAATTAATGCATACATACAGACATACATACATACATACATACAGATATACACACATACAGATATACACACATACGTACATGCGTACATACATACACACATACATAGATACATACATACATACATACATACATACATACATACATACATACATACATACATACATACATACATACATACAT